GTTGTTGGGCGGCAGAAATTAGGGTTTTCCGTCGGAAATCCGTCGGAATTTTAAATTTTATATTATAATTCTGCGTAAATTTAATAACAATTTTTTTTATAATAAAAAAATTAAAATCTGACGGAATACCGACGGTTTCCGTGTCCGTCGGAAATCCGTCAAAAAATTCCGACGGATTTCCGACGGATTCATTTTGNTCGGAAATNCGTCGGNATACCGTCGGAAAATTCCGACGGAAATTTCGGCCGTCGGAAATTCCGTCGGAATACTGTTTGTTTTCTTGTAGTGTCTAATGTTTAATTCAACTAATTTGTTTTAAATATTTTGTTTGCAACTATATGTTACTACATGGGTCCTTGTAAGAATAATGCCGACTGCAAGAACATATGCACAAGCCTTGAGTTAGATCCAACTTTTCTAGTTTGCATTGTTGTAGGTCCATCCATAGCTAATGAAAAATTTGTTGTTTAAAGAAAAGAAAAGATAGTTCTGTTCAACAATGAAACAACAATATATATGTATCATTTACCTATAATAAATTTTCAAATTAATAAAAACTAATGTTTGGATCATAATTAACTCGATATCCAGAAATTTAGGATACCCATATATGATTTCGTCGAACTATTTTTAATTATCAATCCGAGAAGATTACCAGAAAAAACCAGTATATGTTTAAGTGGGGTTGGTAAAACCAGTATACTAATCTTTTTTTAGAGATATAAATCATATGAGTAAATAGTGGGTAGAGAAAAATGAACAACTGTGATACTTATAAAGTTGTATAATTTTTACTATTACAATTAATAAGAATTAGGAAACTAAGCACATTTTGAAAAGTTATTTTGAAAACAGGCAATTTACTATTTACAATTAGTAAAATAGGCACTTCTTACTGTTCATGATGTACATGTCTATGGTGTACACACGGTTCATGGTATAAACACTGTTTACAGTTCATGGTGTACATACTATTCACGGTGTACACACTGTTCACGCAGGTACACTGTTCATGACATCAACTGTTCACGATGCATACATTGTTCATGGTGTACAAATTATTCACGGTTCATGGTGTACACATTGTTCACACATGTGCACTGTTCATGACATATACTGTTTATGACGCATACAGTGTTCATGGTGTACACACTGTTCACGGTGGACGCTATTCACGACAGACGCTATTCATGGTGGACACTATTCATTGTGTACACACTGTTCACGGTTCATGGTGTACACACTATTCATGGTATATACACTATTCATAGTTCATGGTGTACGTCAACTGTTCATATGGATACACTGTTCACACATGTATACTGTTCACGACGCATACACTGTTCATGTGTTTATACTGTTCATAATGTATACACTATTCATGGCGGACACTATTCATGCAGTACATTATCTTCCATGATTAGTGTCTACCGTGAATAGTATATCCACCATGAACAATATGTACACTGTGAATAGTGTGTACATTATCCACCATGAATAGTGCATTAGTATAATTGTGAAACATGTCTATTTTAATCTGTAGCTTGATATGAGATATAGGAGCAAGATATATTATTCGATAATCCTAGTGATAAACACATAGAGAATCGAATGTTTTTTATACGAAAAAAATAAAAGTTTCGGTAGATATTGTTTCCAGTACTACTCGAGGCCCAGTGAGACTGTTATAACAAATCAAACAACATATACAGTGTGATAAGTGTCATAAATATCGATCCCGGAACGAATTCAGAGTCTTACACAACAGTAAGGCCCTCTTCATTTACCTTGAGATATCATATGATCAGCTCCCACTGAAATGTTTGGATATACGACGTTTCCTGCATTTTATTGTTCAATAGCACATTTCGAACATCGGCCACTCCAACGAAGAATCTGATGTTGTGTATCATTTGCAGATATTCTGTATGATTCATGGTCTCCAGCCATGACGGTGAGTTCTATCTGCATCAGCATCCTCTCCATGCTCTCAAGCTCGCCCGAAAAGGTACATACAGCTCTTAAACTCAACATGCTCTCTTTATTCTTCCACAAAGCTGAACCTTCTTCTTGCTTGGTTGCAGCAACGACCAACCGATAATGATCGATATGTGAAGAATTGTAAGAACGGAAGATCTCCAAATGAAGACTCGATGGTGGTTCCACGATGATAAAGTATAAACCATTTATCCATCCATCAACCATATATGTACAATAATCCGAAACCGTCCTGGCTGAGGTTCGTTGTCTATTTTTAATTTAACCGGGTTTAAAGCTGTTGTCCTAAAAAACCCATTTCCAAAATCCATGATGTAAAATTAAACAAAACAATAAAAATTTGATTAATTTGATGAATCTTCCTAACTCTAATTTTTAAAAACCCTAGTAACAAAAAGACCAAACCTAATCTCTCTGATGCTTCTCTATTTAGGTCATATATATACATTAGGAAGAATATTGTCAACTACTATTTGTCCCTCTTGTTTTTTTCTTGTCACCATGAAGCTGATGACGAAGAAGACGATGGCAAATTATATAAGTTAAAAGTGTCTAATTGGCCAATTTTTCCTTTTTATTACACGTACTGGAAAAAAGAAAGTGATCCAATCTAGCTATCCTCTTAAATTTTGATAGTTTATAGATAGTAATTTTTGTTTTTTTTTTAGATTGGGCATTATATTGAAAAAGTGTAGGGAATGATTACAACATAGTACAAACATAAGAATAATTTACGATCTAACAATTACAAGTCTGACTACTAATGAGGTTAAGATACTTAAAAAAGATGTTACTGAATAATTGTCTGGATTCAACCAATATCCTCAAGAAGATAGTGGGTAGCCAAGCTCGTAATTACTAATAGCGGCAAAATGAATTGATCATACAAGCTAAACACTCTCTCCAATCTTTGTAATCCATCTTTTCCGGGACTCATTGGGACAAGAAAGAATCACACACCTCAAAAAGCAGTAGAGACAATCCATAGTCCGAACCTGCAATTCCTAGATAAAAAAAATGACACGACATGAGACTAATCGAGACTGGACCAAGACAAAGAGGAAGAAAGATGGAGAAGCGAAACATCAGACACCTTTAAGTGTCAAGATAATGGAGGAAAAGAGGAGGCTTTTCGCCATGAAACTGAGATCCCATGGATCCACCCAACTAGACTTCAAGATCCAAAGGAAGCGCAAAGGAAAAGAAAGAAATCCCAGAGGCCTCGAAGTCACTA